AATGTGTGCAAACTGCAATCTGGATTGTGCAATCTGTTTTTACTTCTCGTCTCAGAATGGTCAACAATCTCAACAATCTTAGCAATGTTGCAATGTGCAGATTGTTGCAATGTGTGCAATCTGCAATCTGGATTGTGCAATCTGTTTTATACTTCTCTCAGAATGGCCAACAATCTTACTCACAGTACTGCTTTTATTAATATTCCAAAAGAATTATCTTATTTTAATAGTACTTTTTAACTATTGTATTTCTAGGCAAGTTATTGTATCGTAATGGATGGCTGTGGGTTTTGAGTTCTATGATGGTCCAAAGGCTCAATCCAAGAGAGACCTTATTAATTAAATGTATAATCCTCTTTGGTCTTATAGCTTTTCACAATTGTAAACAACAAAAGGCTGAAGACGGAGATACAAGATGTCATCGATTTTAGATGGATTTGTAGTTTTGACCAGATCTCACCTGCTTTCAGTAAAGGGTTAAATCAAAATTGACCAGGCAATTGTTGGTAACACTTTTATTTTTTGATAGACAATGACCATTGTTAGGACACACATTTCAGAGGTTGAAACTAATTTGATTTCCAGTGAATAATTTGGATTCAGATGTCATCTTGAAAATAGAATAGGCCTAAATGGATTCCCCTCTCAAAGGATATCAAAGACTAGAGATGAGTTTAAAGTAATTAACTTTTGAAAACTTTTTCGGATGGGCTTTCTATTTTCTAAAATAATATGCTTTATTTCAAAATGATACAAGATACTTTTTTAAAGACCATTCGCAAATCTTGTTAGCGCAAAATTAATGAATATAATTGTATGTACATATATTTTTCATTGACGCACTTGATATTTAGTGAACAATTTCTGCATTTTAAACTTTCACATAATTTCCATAATGATTGAATTATGATACATTTATTAGTTATCACATAACAATGATAAATATAGGACTTTGCAGAATAGAAAGTTTAAAATGGAAATGTCTTATTGAAATGTGAAAACTCTGCATTGAGCAAGTGTAAAAAGCTCTAACATTGAAATAGCTGATAGATATTCTATCTTCCAGTATACTCATATGAGCAGAGATATAGAATTTCAAGCCGAAACATTAGGATAATCTGTTCTGTTTCATTTGTTTACTCCTGGACTATTTATGAAGTTTGGGGCATGGCAAGGAGGATTGGCTCCCAGGATCGAAACTCAATATTTCCCAACAATGGAAACGTCAAAATGTCGTTATTTTCGCCAATCATAATCGACTATAAATTCAAAATAAACAGTTCAAAAGATTCGAACCAATATCATGATCATTTCCTGTGATTTTTTGAGTTTTTCGTTTCGAAATAAGGCCATAAGTCACGATTAAAATGTTGAAGTAAACAAAATGGCGGCGGTTTGAATTCAAATTTTGTATCACGACATATCCATATATGGGACGGAATATCGATGTTGCCTTCTGGGAGCCAATCCTCCTTGGGGCATGGTTTACTTAAATTATACATAGCCAATTTGATGCACGCTAAATTATTAACTAGGTCATATTACTAAGCATGTTCTGAGTAAACAAATGAATTGGATAATCTTCCATTAAGTATGTCATAGAAAGGTTAATTGAGTAAAAGTTGAATAATATTTTTATAATATTTAGATTTTCATAATCTTCTCATCTGAAATTATTCACAGAATAACATGCATTTGCCAAAATTTTATTACATGATAAATCCAAACAGTTTGGGAAAAGTTTGGGAAAAGTTATCAGTACATTGCATCCCATGTAATTATATTTTCAATATAAGAAATAAAATAAATCAGACTGAGATTTTTATGATTTATCTATAATAACAATACAATGCGATACAACACAATCTTAGTTGCAAGTGGTGTTCCCGGTTGAGCACTGAATACCACATCTGACACTGTGAAGTAAAACACTGATTTCAATGTCTGAATCAGAGCTTTCAAAGCATTTAGGAATCAGCTGTAATTCATGACAAAAACTGTTAACATGAATTTTTTGAAATGTTGCTTTATTTCATGGTCTTTATTGCATTTCTCCATTTTCCAAGCCAACTGATTTTCGTTTATACTGGAACTTAGGTGGGAAGCGAACTTCTTCATTATACTTTTTCATGTAAACATCTGTTGTGAGTTTGCCATCAATCTTGGCCAAACTGTCAGAAAAATCTAACAATTCCTCACCAGTCATGATGTCAGCATTTGCTTTGGTGAAGACAACTGCGGATTTGTTCAATAATTCTTTCTTGCCCAACCCAAGGGCTTCCAGATCATCAAATGCAGCAATGGCATCATGCCTCTTAAATTGTCTGCTGTATGATGATAGGAATCGTGAAAGATATACTGTTTTTCCTGGATATGTTATAACCTTCAACTTAGAAATATGAACATGTTCACATTGACTTCATTTCAACTAACACCTATGATATATGGATGAATCAAAGTTTGAATAAGTTTACATTTCACTGTAACTCCAACTGGCTCTGTATTGGCCATGTTAATTAATATTCATTATCTTGAACAGTATTTAATTTCTTCTTAACCCTACTATCACACCAAACTAGTTTTCACTACGTTCTCGAAAACGGGCTTCAACTGTGTACGAACGGACTGAACGTACTTAGAACCGTTTGGGGTCTATTTACAAACTTCATTGAACGTACTCGAACAGGTAGGTCCTCCAGAACTTAGAACATGCTCAAAATGTTCTTGTGGTCGATACGTTCTACAATTAGAACAAGTGACAACGTTCTAACGACGAGCTGGACGTACTACGAACGGAACCGTCGTACTTCAATCCTACAAGGGACGATTTAACAACGAGTTGAACTGTTTAATACGTATTGAAAACGAGGTAGAACTAATTGCAAACGGGTTTAAACTGATTTAGAACGTATTTAACACTGCTTAGGGGAGCCATCAAAAGTTCAATGTCTGATAGGAAACTAAATAAATCTAGTTTTGAGTTGGACCCCCCCCTCCCCCTCAAAACTAAATACAATGAAAGTTGATCGCAGACTTTTCACATGTTTTGGCGACTCAATTTGGACTTTCATTGGGCCAGTACTATAACTTATTTATGATTCTTAAAACATGTGCCAACAACAATAGGCATAATATTCCATGTTGCATGCATCTTGGTGAAGAAGGCATCTGGTAAAGTCTTTATTTTTAAACCATTCCAAGGCATTTCAAGTCGAAATTGCGAAAAATTTAAATGTTGAAATTTGTCGGATAGCAAACTGAAATAGCTTTGACCCCCTCCCCCCCCAAACTAGATTTATTTAGTTTTCTATCAGACATTGATCTTTTGATGCCTCCCCTTATGAACGAGTTGGCAAAAATATAGCTATCACACCAAACAAGTTGCCACTGCGTTCTTCAAAACTGGTTTTAAACTGAGTGCGAACGGAATGAACGTAGCTGCAACTTTCTAAGGTCTATTTAAAAACTTCTTGAACGTTCTCAGACGGGAAGGTGATTTTAGAATTTTGAATCGATTCAAAATTCGATGGCGATCATACCGTTCTGTAATCAGGTCATGTTGACCTTCTAGCCTAAGGGACGCGTTCTACGACGTTGCACACCGACGTGGTGCGACCTGAACGAACTGCGAACTAGATGGACGTATTGAAGACTGTTTAAGAACGAAGTAGCTAATTATTTTAGACATATTTCCCGACCACAGCCAGATTGAGCCCGTTTTACGACGTTTTCGTAGGACTGGCAAGAACGGGTAAGAACTAGTTTGGTGTGATAGGGGGGTAATGAGCAGATATCACTTTGGGGAGAGACTGCACATGAAACAGCATCTCATTAACAACATATGATATGATGAAGCAAAGCATGGGGGCTACATACAACTCTCCCACTTCAAAAGAGAGAGTTCTTAATAAAAATAAACAAAGTAATGAAAGTAATTAAAACTATATTTCAGCACGTTCATTATAAAAGATTTAAAATTCTTGCACCAATCTTAAGCTGACTCCAATAGTGTACACATTATATTGCATATTATATTTGCTATTGAGTAACCATCTAAATAGTTTACTATTACAAAGATTGTGTATATCGTATAATAATATTAATTATTAAGATTGCACAATCCACATTGCAACAATATTCATATTGCAACAATGTTAAGGTTATATTAGATTCTGAAAGTATAAACCATATTGCAACAATCTGCACATTGCAACATTGCTAAGATTGTTAAGATTGTTTGCCATTCTGAGAGAAGTATAAAACAGATTGCAACAATCCAGATTGCAGATTGCACACATTGCAACAATCTGCACATTGCAACATTGCTAAGATTGTTGCCATTCTGAGAGGAGATGTATAAACAGATTGTACAATCCAGATTGCAGATTGCAGATTGCAGCAATGTTATATTTCACATTGTTAGATTGCAACAATCCAAATTGCACATTGTAACAATCTGCACATTGCAACATTGCTAAGATTGTTGCCATTCTGAGAGGAGATGTATAAACAGATTGTACAATTCAGATTGCAGATTGCAACAATGTTATATTTCACATTGTCAGATTGTGACAATCCAGATTGCAGATTGCACACATTGTAACAATCTGCACATTGCAACATTGCTAAGATTTTAATTTGCCATTCTGAGAGGAGATGTATAAACAGATTGAACAATCCAGATTGCAGATTGCAACAATGTTAACTTTCACATTGTCAGATTGCAACAATCCAAATTACACATTGTTTTTGGGTACCTACTGGCCATGATTGTTCAAACTCTATAATTTGTTAATGTTTTTTCAACATTTTACAAAATTGCTTTTTCCTTCACATCCATCCCACCCCTCTGGCTATGCCCATGCATGATATTGCAAAATCAAAGAGCATGTACAATCCCTTTATAGCATTGATTCAATGAGACCCCCATTGCACTCTCAGAAAGTCACCCATTACAACAATAAAATTAAGATCCACCATTACTCTGTGTGCCGTTTCAGTCTCCAGGCAGACAGTACAGCAAGTGTCTGGGGGGAGTATACTAGTCATATGCAGAAGCACTGGACATGTCCCCATTGTAATGAGCCAATGATAGTCACAGTGCTAGACCGCCTACAGCATGAAGCAACCTGTCAGGCCAATAAGGAAAAACAGCAGGGTATGTCTCAGCCTGATGGGTCTTTCAGAGAATGGATTACAGCTTCACTGATTTTAGATAGTTAAATTTTTCATTTTCGGCTCACATGGTGAGCCTATATGGAATCATTTTTTAACTCTTTATGCACTATTTAGTTCTTAATTGTAAAACTTAGAAAGTTAAATCCTGGCAGTGCCTGGCTAGGATCTAAAACCTGATGAGACAAATTTTATTTGAAGCTTTGGGCCAAAAGCATAGGAACACATTTTCACAATTCTGATTGAAAAAGAATGTCTGAATTTATATTTCTATATAAAATTTCGATAATTCCTTGGTCAAAATCTTTAAAAGAAGTTGAAAGTACACAGTTTGACATTTTTCACAGTGATTTTATATTACATAAAACTTGCGAGTGAATAATAACTGTTTTAACCTTTAATATTTCAAAACATTTCTGAAAGAAAATATTTATTTTCAGAACTAATCTCTTCTAAGGGGTCTTCAACAGATGTGGGATCAACGAGCCAATCAGGAATGAGCAACCCATTAAAAAAGGAATATCACTGCCCTCTATGTTCTAAAGACTTCAACTTTACAAACACAGAGATTTTGAAGCATAGAAAAACATGCAGAAATGACAATTGAAAAGTCACATGTTTATGGAGTGAATGAGCACTAAGCAACATTAATCTTGGAGAAAAAAATTAATTATTTTTCTAGAAAAATGAAGACATCTTATTTTGTTTCCTATACAAAATAAAAAGATATGGTTTTATAAAATATAAAGATAATAGATCAAGCTGAAAATAACACCCAAAATATTTGTCACAAAATCCCGCTCCCTCCACTATTCAATTTTTATGTTACCATTGGAAGTGGTGACATTTTGTGGATGGTGGTTGGTGTTCGGCAGTTGGTGCTTGGCCTTCTGTGTATAACAAATGGCAGGTGGTGACATTTTGCATGTAAATGCCTTGTTGGTAAATTAAGTTAGATCTGGAAGTGAGATATCTTGCCCATAGCTGGTACAATTATACGACTTTACATTGTGTAAGTTGGACTGTCTCGACTTACTTGACAGACTCAGAATTATGCCTGTGATATGTGAGGAGATTGAAACATTGATCAGCTAAGAGACAATATCAGTAAAACAGAGAAAAATAAACCCCCACAAACAATTTTAACCTGGAAAAACATATCCAATATTATAACATTAATTCATATTCTCAAACACAAATTCAAGCTGTAATACAGATACTTTGTGGTATTTTATTCTTCATGGACACATATACACAAGTGTACCTCTTACACAAGATCCCTTAGTGCTTATGTGGATGATGCCATCTTTACATTGCCAGAGAACCCATAAACCCATAATCTCTAGATCACATTCTATTTGTTGTTACAGTACACTGATAATGTTGATAAATAATTACATGGCACAAAATAAAATGTATGAAATTGAAATCAAAAGACACTTTTGTTATTCTTTAAACTTGAGATATGTTTGTAAGGTGGTTTTACTGTATGTATACTTTTTGGCAGAAGTCTAGTGGTAACCAGTTTGGCTTATGTTACATCCTCCTTCAGGACAGAACCACTTAACCCTTTCACGAGCCCTATTATGTAATACCTTTCAGGACGATAGGCTCCTTTTGGCACCATTATTTTTATTTATATACATCAATGAAATGATAATACAGTATCTCCAATTCTATTCAGTATTTTTACACCAAATTTTGACAAGTTGTTCTAATACGATAGTCCTTACTAAAAAATGTATTTCAGTGATAAAATTCAAGGTATAGGTCCCTGGGCATAGGTAATTTTCAGTTTTCCCCTAAAAACTGCTCTTACTTTTCCGTCACCAGGGCCAACATTTTCCTCTTATATTCATGTCGGGAAAGGGTTAATGCAGAAAATAAGCCTTTTTTATGGTATATTACAATTGCACATAACAGTAACATGATAGATCTACTCTACTACAATTTTTTAAACAAAAGATATCCAATGTTTTGTTAGTAATATCTGAGATTAACATAAAATGATGATGATGGTCTCCCGGGGATGGGCTCCGGTAATATTGAAATGCTCAATGATTTCGTATTCCCGGGGTCACTTTTTCGTTCAGTGTAATTGGAAAGCGCCACCTGTAATAGTGCTACGCCAAGTTCCTGAAACATTTCGTAAATAAATTGACGGTTTTACTGGATTTGCCGTATAAATATCCACTATGACACGTATGTATCAACATATGTTAACTCTTATTGATTTGATTCAGATAATGACAGCTTCAATTATATTTAAAAATTTTTGAAAACACATAAATACGATGTTCTTTGCCTTTGTTGATTTTTGTGTCATTTTTTCACTCTGAGTTTGATTTCAATTTTTCACAGGAAGTTGTATCAAGACCTTTTTGGGCCTCTACGGAGCCTTTTGCCCTTCCCCAATCTTGGAACAGATGAGATCTTATGAGAGGTGGGGGGGGGGCAAAAGCCCATAAAGGCCGAAAAAGGTCTTGATACAACTTCTTGTGCAATTTTTCGTAAGCATAGTCTAGCTGGATTCTTTCTGATTTTCTGTTGATTCCAATATTTTAGGGAGCGCCATGTCATTTAATACATATGATGTATCTCAAAGTCCAGCAACTTATTTTCAGTTTATATATCTAAATTGGATTCAGTTGCAAATATGGTTTTGCTCTGGTCTTTTCTCACTTCAACAGAAAGGGAGATGCATCGAACTTCGATGTATGGGGTTACTTTATCATGTGGCTACTTCGACCATTGGTTTATTTTAACCATTGGTGATGGTTCATATTTTCGGGGTTTGGCCATCTTGGATTAAGATTTCATGAGTTGGAGATTTCATATATTGTAAATTTTTTCAAAAACAAACATGCCGGACATCGGGAATCAGAAATATAACCCAATGATGAAATAGCCCCATGGTCAAAATGGCCCCATGACTAAGTAACCCCAAACATTGAAGTTTGACCCATCTCCCCTAGGGTGTAATATCATTTGCTTCATTAAGCTTGAAACCTGTCCTCATTTTAATACTCGGCAACTTATTGTTTATTTGCTAAATAAACAAACCCCCACCTGATTCACTGTCTTGAATATAATTATACATGGGAAAGGGCCTGGGCCACTACATATCGATTCCAATCTATCAGTGATGAGGTTTTTATTGACTCCGTCAATTAACAACAATGGGGGAGCATCATTGCCACACGACCCGAGATGGTTGAGCAAAATACTGATTCTTTTTAGGGTTAGAGTTGAAAAATCTTTGGCCATCTTCAGCTGCAAGCAAAAGTCATTACCCTTACAACCAAAGTACTGATTTGGGGGCCTAATTTAAATGTATTTCCTCAATTCTGATTGGCATGAAGTCCAGCCAGCACGTTCAGCGAAGCATTTTTACGAGTGAGATGCCACATACAATTTGGGTCTCAAGTTTCTCATATGAACCCATGGCAGTGACACAGAATGTATTGATTGTGTGGGAACCGACGACGACATTGGTAGTTGTATAACATTAGACGTTAAAGTCATTGAGCGATCTGTTTTGTTTTTTTTGTAATATTTATTTTATTTCAGTTTAACTTCTTACATTTTACATTTTAAAGCAAACTTCAAACGTTCTTCCTTTCACACCATACATTCCTACCCATCCATACCCTCTCATCTTTCATACATCTCAGTCAGACACATGCATAAGTGATGTGTTATTTTTGACCACATGGTAACATTTCCTCATATCACTGGAACTTAGATGCAAAACCTCTCCTTGAAGAACCCCTGTGTTCTTTTTTACATCAATAAGTTAATTAGTCTTATGTTCATGAACATAAGCACAGAATCTTGAACCAGTTTCTTAACCCAAGATCTCTTCACCCATACTGGTGAATAATAGTACTATGTTTACAGGAGGTAACCAGAGAGAAAAAGCAAGAGAAAAGAATCAGAAGAAACAAGCTCAACTAGCTAAACAGAAGAAAACTGGAGAGAAGGGAGAAAACCAAACAACAGCCCTAAATGCACGGAAAGAAAGGTAAACATATTCTTATTCTAAACAGACTACCCCTGCTAGCAAGTGTATTTAAACATGCGACTTATTGTTCATGCAAAATAATAATCTTTCTGAGAGTGAGGTTTGTTCCCGGCCTGGTTCGTCGATCAATTATTTCAGAAAAGGTGGTTTTACTCGGCCAGGGGTTCGTTTTATAACGAAATGTCGGTTCAAGGCGAAGGGGTTATGCAACCACCCTCCACCCAGCCTATGCCCTGGATGCCCATGTGCTTTACTCAGGCTGCATGTCTAGAACTGTGTGCACTGTCTATAACTACTTTCAAGTCCAGTTATCATAATGAGAATCTTAAGTTCTTCTTTGTTTAGACTATTAGTAAACAGTGTTTATGTTTATTAATACAGTATGAAAGTAGAGTGTGAAATAACAGTATGTACTGTCTTGATGATGATGATGGAGTAAAAAATCTGTAACATCAACTCAGTAATCAATCAACTTTGATATATACACATATTATACTTTAATAATATATGTGTGTGCAAAATTTCCAGATTACAGCTGTTTAAATACATAAACATAAATAATCAAATCAAATCAATCAACTTTTAAACCTTATCAATATTAGTTTTAGTCCAAAGGTTAGATATGTTGAATGATCCAGTTTACTGGTTTTCAATTGCATTTTTGATTCTTTTTATTATTAATCACAAAACTGTTTTGTATTCAGGCTACAGGCTACACATGTATTAGGTTCAAAATATTGTAGACTATTGATTGTTGCAGAGACCAAAAGTAGCTAGAACTTGTAAGAATATACCAATCACCTCATTTCAAAGGGATGGCCCAAGGTCCAATATTTCACTATGTTGCCAGCTGAAATGAGGTTATTAGTATTATTACCACTATGTGCCCAGGGCTGAAATGCAATGGTAAGAACGGATTGCCACTGATATGACTGAAAGAAAATTATACACACTAAACAATATCTCATTTTCCATTGCTGGGCTAAAATATCCATTTTGGTCTGCCACTACGGCCTGCCACAGTGACGTCACATATTGCTCGGTCAATATAGTAAAATATAACAGGCCCAGCAAGGAATAATGATATTGCTCATTGAGCCTAAAATTGCCTCACCTATTTATATCGCCTCACCCTTCGACTTCCATAAAACATTTTTTCATCATGCATTAATGATAATTGTCTTGTCCATTTGTAGGGATGCTGATGTAATGAGACAAAAACAAGCAGCAGCTGCTGCTAAGAAAGCTTCAGAAGGAGCATCTGGTGGTGCAGCTAAATAACAAGTTCAAAACAAGCCGATCTGTAGACCTTCACCAAATGACAAGACACAATATTTGACAGGAAACTATATTTGGTATTATGCAAACACATCCTTGAAATATAATGAAGAAGTCCAAGTTGTTTTTACAAATAAATAGACTTTCTTTACAACATGGAACTTGGTAGAATATTAACGGATGTGGAACTGTTAACCAGTGAAATAACATAATCGAGGTTGAACAAATCATAAGAAAGTCTTGCACTTCAAATAATATGAGCATGTGCTTCTTGTGGATTGTATAGAATTATATTTTAGGCCATTCAAAGCTAATACTTTATTTAATGTCCTTTCAAAAGGAAAAATCTTCAAAATTGTCATTTGAATTACAAGTTCATATCCAAGCAGTTATTTTTTCGGAATATTTGCCTTTTTGTCACAATCATAGAAGGGAAGTGACCTTAAACATACATTTAACTTTGTTTGGCCTTGAGTAATTATTTGTGTCAACATTTAGATGTCAGCATAAATGAGTCAAAATGCATCATTCATGAGTTTAAATTGTGATTTATGTGTAGAAATAATTTGTAACATTTTGTGATGGAACATTTCATTTCAAGAAAGAGTTTTTCTCCTAGACCGTGAGCATATTGTGTGATCTGTGATGGAATTTCAAAGAAATGAGATTTCAGTTGTCACATTTATTTTGTATTTTGAGAGACATACACATACATTTGGACATTGGTCTTAGGGTATGAACATTTTCCAATATACAGGACTAGACTCCACTATTTGCTTGCTTTATGTAACAAAGTCCCATGTTTTATCCTGCTTTGTGGCAGACATTGCTTAGGTAGCTATGAAACATAACTTTGTGTGTTGTCACAATAAACATCAATCAAAACATATTGATGTTTTGGCTCAACCCTCGAGGCTATATGTACATGTATATCTAAATACATTTTTGATTTTATTGTCAACTTCATGATTGTCTACCCTGCTGGATACATTCTTTTTATCATTCATAGGTTTAATTCCATTATTGTAAAAGCATACAATTGTTTTTAAATGAAAACATATAAGTGTACAAAGATGGCATAGAGGGTTATTATACTATCAGCATATATATTCTCATTCTGTCTAAAGATGTCACTGTGATCTAGCATCCAATGTTTTCCCAGGCCTCGTCTAGCCTTCATCTCGAAAGTAATGAATTTTCGCCAACTTAATTTTAGATCAATTTTTTAACAGACAAAAGTGTATATAGTGTGAGAAATTACTTGACAATGATGGTAAAATTGTTCTTCAGGAAGACTTTTTGGGAAATTAATGCTCTGAGAAAATCTAAGCATAGAATAAGTGCACTAAGTAAAGAAAGTGATATTTTAATCTTTTCTCTCATTTTGAAAGACGATGCTTGATCACCATGACAACAGAACAAGATGATATTCAGATATTCTTGTTGGTGAAAGTGAAGACATTATCATACTGTACAATATCACTGATCATTCAATAAACATATACAGTAACTGTGTAGTATTTAAAACTAGCGTTTTCTCTGTCTGATTTACTAGCATTTCCAACACAAGTGTATTAACTTTATAATATATACAATCAATTTTTGTATGATATATGACCAAAATGGCCACCGCCATCTATCTTCCAAACTGTATAATATTGAACCCCACTATGCAAGGGTTGGGGTAACTTTGCAAGGCTGGATGCCATGATGTCTGTATGCAAGGCTAGATGTCTTGACATTAGTAATGCAAGGCTAAATGTCATAATATCTTTATGCAAGGCTAAATGTCATGATGTCTGTATGCAAGGCTAGATGTCCTGACATCAGTAATGCAAGGCTAGATGTCATGATGCCTGTATGCAAGGCTAGAGGTCATGATGTCTGTATGTAAGGCTAGATGTCCTGACATCAGTGTGCAAGGTTAAATGTCATGATGTCAGTATGGGAGGCTAGATGTCATATGACATCAGTATGCATTGCTAGATGTTTTGACTTCAGTATGCAAGGCTAGATGTCATGACATCAGTATGCAGGCTAGATGTGTTGATGTCAGTATGCACGGCTAGATGTCATGGCATCAGTATGCAGGGCTAGATTTTTGACGTCAGTATGCGTGCCTATTTGTCCATAACTATTGGTGCTTACAGTCTTTATCATTACTACGAGGGTTGTCCCATAAGTCTTGAAATTTTTATTCTTATTCATAGAATATTTGAGATACAATGATAAAAATTTCACATTTTCTAACGTAGATATATTTCTACTATCTCTGTAAGTTTAATAGCATAATAAGATCATTTGGTAATGTTACAGATGATTAAAAATGTAATGTTGGGGGTACCCGGGGCAGAAAACAGGATAAAAATACAAATATGACGTAAAAATTAAGGATTTGGGAACCCCTGGCTCAGCTCAACACGTTGCCTTTTCTGCTCCTCTGTCAGAATATGTGGAATGAATCTAGGGGCTACCTTTGACATCCAAAGGTCTTTCTTCATCACTCTGTGAGCAGTACTCTTACTAATATCAAAGTCTAGGCGATCTTCCTACACTGAGTAGTTCTCATTTCAGCCCTTATAGGCCTACTCTCTGCAATATGTGATATGAGATTGTCACTGGATTTTGGCCTTCCACTTCTAGGAGCATCTTCCAGGCTGGCATCTCCAGTTTTTAACTTCTTCTATCACCTCCATATTGTAGGTGCACTTGGAGTTTACTGTCTATATACTTTTTCCATGGCTGTTCTTGTTTGTGTAGGTGTATGCCTTAAGGAGGCGTGGTATTGCACAACTGCACGCAAAGATTTAACATCTGGTGACAAAATCCCTGCCATTTTGATTTTCAAAATGCTGTGGCTCTGTACCAAAATTGAGCAATTGTGCTAGTTTATTATGACATCACAGAGGTATTTCATAAGATTTTACCAAGAATACAGTGTTTTTGTCAATCTTGACAGGTGATTCACAATTTAAGATACATACCATCCTTTAAAATCCTTAATACTCCCACGGCTCCATTTTACATTTTTACTATATTTCATTACTGCCCCACCCCCCGACTCCCCCGGTTACCATAGCAACCATAATAGTTACTCAAGTTCATAATTTTGTTATGAAACTATCACATGTTGAAGATGATTGATTGATCTTGATATATACCAATTTTCAGCCAAATTCATCAAAATCTATTTGAATTAGAATAAAAATTTCAAGACTTATGGGACAACCCTCGTATTATATATGAAGGTCTTGGTTATTATATGCAATGCATGTCCATAATCTCTGATGAAGGATATAATCGTATTTACACATGATTCTTAGCAGTATCCATATTTTAAAATCGGTGATTTGTGCCGTCTGCATATCGAGCTGCCTAGTATTCCAGTCAACATTGAATGTAGATATGCGGTTAGATTGTTTAAGCTACCTGAACTCATTTGACAGATGAACAATTCTAGAGTCTTCATCATTGTTAGGGAAACAGCACAGCCGCCATCTTGTCCGAATGTAACTGATCACCATGACAGCGCAGACACTGAGAGACATTAGGAGAAATCCCGTCGGCCAGGCAATCATGTGAATGACAGTTGCTGGGCGTGGTCTCTCGATATAGGCGTGGCTATTGTGGGTGGTAGGATCATAGAAACAATCGTACACTCGACCTTGGAGGCCATAGTAGTATTTGAACGTCTGAAGCGTATGGATGTCACTCACTGGATCTTCTGAGCACACGCCGTATGAACAATTGCTCTGGAAAAACGAAAAAAATTTGCGTATTCCTTATAAATGAAATCAGTAGAAGACGTCGGAATAAACAAGCTGTTTCATTTGTAAACGAATCTACAGGGTGTGCCAAAAAATTGCAACTTTTTAAAAGGCTAGAAAGGTATCATAACATTATAGTATTGACATAATTTTTTCAAAAGGAAAAATTTACTATTGATCTTCAAAGATCTGATGAAAATATTGAAGTCAGTATTATCTTAAGTATTTAAATGGTGAAATATGCCTCCCAAGTTTTTGTAAAAAAATTGATGTCAACACCATGGCGTTATAATTATGATACTTTTCTAATCTTAAAAAAGTTGCAAAATATTTTGGCACACCATGTATATACTGGACAAGGTATACGTATACCATTCTAGTATACTAGCGTGTAGAAATAGATCTCCCAAGTGAAAATTTCAGTTATACAGGTATACAGACTGTCAGTTTTTAATTAGTAAATCACATCCTTGAGAGATAAATTATGATTTAATTTGATACGAAAAAAGTAAATCAAAAGTTAATCAAACACTTGTATTCGACTTAGGGGTAGAGCCCATGATTTTAATGAATATAGTAAGATACTGTTTCAGATGCAAGATTGCACATTACGACCACCAGCGTGTTATCGATGCGTTTACTCACCCCATTGAACATAAATAGATACTGGGTCTATCAATTGAGCCTAATCATGACATCGAATCAGATTTACATCGGGATTATCTAAATCCCTATCATGACATGCAATATGTTTTCAAACTCTGAACGTAAAACCACTAGCAAGTAGCAACCCAAGCCCGATCTAATCAAATTGGATTGATGGACGTTCTATTTCTAGTAAATCACTTTTTGATTCTATACTAGCTGTGGAACAGTATAACCCGGGTCTACTACAAATACACTATAAATAGAAAGAGCAATATTTCAAAGACGTGTATTACAATTATATGAACCTCGGATGAAGAAAAATCAAAATAAGGAAATTCTGTTATCTTCCTATGTCAATGTTAGGAAACTTCAAAGCCTCAGTCCCATTTGATCTACGGGGACCGCAACTTCCCGAAATCGAGAGGATTATTTAGGTTCTTGTTCGACTGCATTTTATGAGTATAGAGGTTGGGGTCATTAAAGGCAGAATCAGATCTATAGGGGTGAAAAAATTACAAGCCACATGTACAACTGACCTATTGATCTATTCTTTGTAATCTCAAATACAATATCTCCAAAAAGATTCATGATACGTTATAAATTGGTGCAGTTATTATGGATTCAAAGTGCAAAAATGGGTGAAAAATGTTTAAATTCTCCCAAATAATAAGAATGGTAACCATGACACCTTATGGTAAAAATCTTTAGTTTTCCTGAAATAAAGTGTGCACTTTGGGAATTTTTAGAAAATAGACATGACAAGGAATGACATGAGCCAGAAATTTTCTCCGCTGTTCTGACTTTTTTATGTACCCTGTACATCGATTTTTTAAAGCTACGGGCGCCGTAGAGCATATGTGACTGAGGCTTTAGTTGAGTATTACCACAGATATTTCTTGATTCTTATTATAAGCACAAGTTGTTTGTCGTTTGTTTCTGTTTCTAGTTGTTTGTTTCTCTCAAGTTGTTTTATTTCCCTAAAGTTGTTGTCTGCTCCAATATCAAAATTTATCAACAGCGTTATTACTGACAGTACAATTTAAAACTAATTTTAATTCTGCGTCCATCTTGTTACAACAATTGCCATTATGGACTTACTGCCTCCAGTGGTTTATGAACTTGGAAAGGTCGGAATGCCAAGCGATTTCAACTAGTCTTTACTTCTACTTTAATTCTTCCAGATGACTGGCTTTAACTACTAGGCCAGCTTATATAATTAGACTGTTGTCTCAATTATGTAAATTTACTGTCCTATTACTGTTTATGAGGTAACAACTCTGCTATTGCCGCATCTTTGATGAGCTTTCCAATCAATTCTGAGCATTCTGTCGTCGAGTTTGATGACATCTCGATCCTTTTAAAAGGTCATTTCTTGAAATTATTGTTGTAAATTGTGGTCAATTACAGGTTATCTTTATTATTATTTGCATATCAAAGTTGAAGCAAAGGGGAATGTAATTAACCTACAGAATTAATACTTTTTGTAAAATGTTCATGTTGAACGGAATAATTATCAATGAATATACCAATGATTTCTATACAATTCCAAATGTTATTTATTGCTGGTAATTGCCAAATGTATCATGGAATAAAGTCGGAACTCTTTGTTTTTTAATTAATATGTATGAAAAATGATCATTTGAGAAAGAAAATTTGGTGAAGCTGACAATTTTTCTAGTTATTTCCCACTGTCGCTGTTCATTGCTAACTCTTCATGCTTTTGAGATTTTGTCAAATTAAGAGGTTTAATGAATGCATTCTCATTCTAGCTACTAATTTACTGAATAAATTTAATTTACGCAATATCAGTATTCAGACTAAGGAATCATGGCAGGCACTTTGGTAAATTGGAAAACACGTTTATTTGATTGATCATTCATAAAATGACCGAGTCATTGTATTTAATCAGGAGATGATAATCAGGCGTGAAATAGATATGTTCTTCAGCATGTGAGCTGAAATTACATTGTTTTATGATAAGGTCTTGATAGACAAGCTGAGGAGAGATCCAGTTTCATAGTCAATGCCCTGAACTTTGGTGATAATTCTATTTAGCAATGGAAGTCTGCAATTTAGATAGCCTTCCATGTGTTTGATTTTGCATGTCTACGAAAACCGCCAGTTTATTCAAAAATAGGTAGATGTTTCATTTTTTTGTCGTTTGTGAACGTTTTTGAGCACTTTCACACTTGCCAATACGTTCGTACTGTTCCCAGTACATCGGGGATCCATTCAATTGTTACAAATTGACATCCAAAATTCTACTTTTTTCAATAATGGGGGAGGGGGTGGGGGTAACCACAGTTTTTTCAAAATCGAAATATTTCTTTGGTTAACCCCACATTCTCGAAAAACTAGATAGATGGTTGTCAATTTATAACAATGGAATGCTCTCCGATGTAATGGGAACTGTATGAGCGTATTGCAAGGTAAACGTCAACGTCCACAGATTACCAAATGGAATCATATCTACTCACTACCTGAATATACACTAATACAATAAAAACGCTTTACTGAGCTATACCCATCGTAAATGAATTAATGAATGTACGGCCATGAGGTTAAATCTCACCATGTCCATTCGATCATCGTTGTTTATCAGTTTCTCCATGCCATTTATCTTGCTTTTGTTGGGAATAATGAGGTGTATTCGTTCTACTACTGAGAAACACCTACAGTAAAACCTGTCTATTACGAACGCCATTGGGACTGGCTAAAAACGTTTGGATTGAGATGTTCACAATTTGAGCTTTTTGTATTATTACGGTTTTGGGAGAAATGTGAGCACATTTTCAATAAATATTTATAGTTTTATTGACCACATAGCAAATGATAAAAATCAAATTCATTAGTCATGTTTGAAAGATACATGTACATTATGATTGAGAAGAAAAGTTACGATATCATACCAAATTAATGATTAAGAGAACATATTTGAGCTATTTGAGCAACTAAGTATGGAACATGTGACATTTTATAAAACGTGTTCATATTAGACATGTTAAATTTGCAATCACGATTGTTTATCGTTCAAACTGTTTTTTTTAACATTTCCGAGGGTCTTAACATGAAAGTCAATGGGAGGTAAATGGGACCGAAAGTTTTTATATCCGGAGGTGTTCGGATAAGCCAGGTGTTCGGATATACAGATTTTACTGTACTCCAATTCCAAATGTGCTCGTGTATTTGAATCATGCTCGACGAATTCTACATCAAATAATCACAGACAAATTCCTGTTTATTTTCTTACTTAAAGGGAGTAAATAAATAAGATGTTTGTTATATCCGAGCTCATCTACGAAAGGAGTATCAAAAATACATGAGACAACTGCCGATACTCTGGAATATTAATTTAAATTGACAGAAATACAGTATTTGCATTTATATTACAGTAACATATTAAGGATATTAGGGTAGAAAGCCCACATCATCCTAAATATTATCAAAATAAAAGTTGACCGTAGAATTTAATCACTTCCAGCCATCATTTATTTTGACATCAAACTTTGTTTCTGTGGGGTCATCTTGAATTGTAAAGCTATAGTAAATTATTTCAAGATTCCCTTGCATTAACCATTGACCTATTGGGTGACCTACACGTTTGCACTTAATCTACCAGTGACCTTTGTTATTTCAGATGACAGTGACCTCTTTATATGACCTTGACCTAAGGCGACCCTACATGGCCATATATATTGCCAATGATCCTAAATGTAATTCCATTACATTGATTTGATCTTTCACATGACCTTTACTTAGATATATGACCTTGTCATTCCGTGACCTTTTACAGTATCTTACTTCCATTCACTTACACCATCTGACATTATGCTTCAATCTCTCACATTTAATGATTATATAAATAGTTTCTAAGAAAGTCATATAAATACTCTTTTTTATTTGAAAATGATCAATTACACTACTAGTTATATTAGAATCTAATTTTAAACACACCTATTTCCGTCGATGACCTCTCATTATAAAAAATGAAGAGGACACCGATGGAGATAAACTAACACACCTCTTTGACAGTACAACCTCGTGCAGTGTACTCTCTGTGTATGGTGACGTTCCGTACAATTTCTCCATCTTGCTGTCTGTAGCTGACCAACACCTGAAATGTAAACATCATACAGCTTGAGAAACAACTCATCAGCTTCATGCACATCACATTGACAATTCATTCAGTTGTTGATCAGAAAAATAAATGAACCGATTCATAATAGTCGACGGCAATCTAATAAATGGCGTTGTTGTCTTGACAAGAACAAAGTGTTATAATTCAAAAGGTGACTGACTAGGCTTATAGGATTGATGGGACAAACTACGCAAAGTGGTTGGAAACCCCATTGTTAAAGTATTCTATGAGGGTCGTAACCAGTGAGTGTAGAAGAAACTATAGACCACTTTGTACCTCTTTTCAGATGGCCCTTGCTGACCCGGGTTACTGACCCCGATTGAAATGATTAGGTGAACAAAGGCCTATATCAAAGTTATTTCTTTTATATTAAATTTATTACTTTTTATAAATAAGTTTTACTTTATATCCATCTCGGTGAATGATGATATAATTATTCCAACTTTGAACAGATAACGATAACTCATCCGTTCCTGGGCACATACAATGAAAATCAATCTATTCAAGATTCCTTATCAAACAAATAATCAAATCTTGTTTCTGGAAGAGGTTCCATTCCAAGGAATAATCCGATCATCAGCTTTGCAGAATCCAAGAGCTCTCAAGAACCGCGATTGGCAGATGTATCAAAACAATACGAAACCTCAGACGTTTAACATGACATTTGCCATAATACAAACCGACTGAAGTACTTTGCTTTAACCCCAAAATAAGTTCAAATTGAAAGCCTTATGCATTCATTGTTTTTTGTTTTTTTACATATAGCTAGCATTCATTGTGTGATTGCCACTCTTCTGACCAATCAAAACGCAGGATAAAGCGTGCATGGTCTCACAACCAATGCATGCTGTTGACTATTGATTTTTAGCTGGTTCATGTCCTTACAAAATGGAATACTTGTTGAATGCTATAAACGGTTTGTCATGCTGTAGATGGATTGAACTTGAGAATGCATTTACCGTGATTTATTTTTATGTAGCATTCAAGAATTCAACTGCCGGCTGCCGGATCAACCTACTATTTCAAGTCGAACGGATCTAAATATGAATGAAATAGTGACAGGTACTATTTATTTAAAAGAGTTGGCCATAAAATAGTAGGTTAATTCGCCAGTCGACAGTTGACTTCGCGAATGCTACCTTAATCATGGCTTAATCACTTAATCATATAATTAATCATGAGTTTACTTATTGTTCTTAAAACGTATAAAAAACTCAAGAGGTTCTGCATCTTTTTCATGTTTGATTTTTCTCATTCGGCAAAGCGAAGTGACATCAAAATAAAGACCGTGAGTAATTGTAATAAATACCATCCTTACCTGAAGACATCGAACAGGTGTCATAACTGACCATCTTCCACATTTACATGGTATATCGTCATGGTAACCAGTTTCTATAACGACACATATCGTCTGTTTAAATCCGTTGCCATGGAGATAGGGTGGTGCAAATCCAACAACTAGAACAATGAGTACGAAAGCGGCTCCAAATGAAACACAAGCCGAACACTCGAACAACAACTTTCTACAATCTTTATCCAAAATGCACATTTCATATGTAAACATTTAACCATATCCTTTAGGTTGGGATGCAGTGTAAGATGGTTTGTCAAATGCCTCTGCCTTATCAAATCATGGTGTTTGGTCAGCCATAATCGTAGCTATTCCTCATGAAGACGGCAATTCAGATGCTAAAATACTTCAATTTCTCCCATAATAATTCCTAATTAATCGCTCGATTGCAGGTTTTCAATTAAAGAAGATTAGATACGATTGTATAATGGCGTAATAATCAATCAAGCGTAAATCCACAGTAAAAGATATGCGTTGCCCCGTTATATCTACGAACTTTCACTATTGAGTCTAAACCTATTGCATTACACCAAGGTACATCACCATATTCTTTATAACAATGGGCAGTTCTCTCTTCTCCGTAGCTCATCAACGAAGGAAGCATTGGCGAATTCAACTGACGGCTGACGGATTAGCCTTCTATTTCATGGCAAATTCATTTAGATATGAATGGATTAGTGGCAGGCATCATTCATGTTTAAATGAGCTGGCCATAAGATAGTAGATTAAACCGTCAACCGGCAGTTGTATTCACAAATGTTAAAGTTCGATGTTTTATGTTGGTAATCCACCACTGAGTTGGTTCGAGCGTCAGGCAGCCTGTTGATGCTTCTATTCCAAGGTTTCAAAGCGAGCCTACTGGGTGTAGAGTTTACTCAATCATTTGATAGTCGATAAATATATCAAAGCCAACGAGTGATTTCATATATTCAAAGAACCCAAATTTTGTTCTTTTACTCGTGTATTGTCTCCCTAGGGAAGAACAACATTAGTTGGAATCTTGTAAGCTTGAGAAGCAAATATTGATGAATCACTTATGAGCCTGTTTGCGACAGATATAGTTTTTAGTGTAATCCTTTCAAGGTTTCCAATCTGTCAGTTTTAATGTTTTTGCTCTGACATTACCTATAATCCTTTCGAGGACCATTTCAATACACAAGGGCAGAAGTTGAGTGCTACTTTTACAAAAAGTACGTCATAAAACGTTGTTTTTTCAAAAGTTTAACGTGATAACCCTACACCTGAATGTGCGAGACCGTTTCTGAAGATGAAGTTAGATTAGGCCCTAGCTGGACTAATATCTAACAATCTAAATATTCAAAACAAAAAATGTAATTTCAACCTACAAAAAGTTTTTAACATTATAATTACCTAAATGCCCGATATGCAACTATTAGCCAGGAATACCTTTGCTCTAGTAAGGAATACCGATGTCTTTGGACACCTATACCACTATCTCTAGTCATAGATATATTACTGTCTCTAGTCAGCAATATCACTCTCTCTTGTTAGTAATACCAATGTCTCTGGACACATATATCACTATCTGTAGCCAGGGATGTATTACTGTCTCTAGCCAGCAATACCACCATATTTATTTAGAAATACCAATGTCTCTGGACACATATATCACTATCTGTAGTCAGGGATATATTACTATCTCTAGTCAGCAATACCACCATCTTTATTTAGAAATACCAATGTCTCTGGACACATATATCACTATCTGTAGCCAGGGATATATTACTGTCTCTAGCCAGCAATATCACCATATATAGTAACAAATACCAATGTCTCTGGACACATATATCACTATCTGTAGCCAGGGATATATTACTGTCTCTAGTCAGCAATACCACCATATTTAGTTAGAAATACCAATATCTCTGGGCACATATATCACTATATCTATCCAGGGATATATTGCTGTCTCTAGCCGGCATTACTACAGTCTCTATCCAAGATTACCATTGTCTCTGGCAAGGAATTAGTGAAAAACAAATCACATTCTTGAGAGTTCTGTGAGGGCGATGTAATTAAAGACACGCTATCCCGGAGTGGTAATATTTTTCTACAATAGGAGAATAAGATATGCTAAATATCAATAAGTATAACTCAGTGAGTTAATTGTGTTCGGGAGCGAAGCGAATATAAGATTAAATAGAATACCTTTGTTAATATCAATGATAAACTCATTAGAATAACTGTCAGAGCTGTCAAATGGTGTAGTTGCTCATACGATCCTGAGGGAGTTGTTCGCACAATTACTATACGAATCCAGACTCTTGGAATGCATTGGCCAATATATGTCATACAGCAAGATTAATGAAGTTTTACATTATTCTTTGACTACACGTCATCAATCAAATAAATTCTTTGACACTATTCATAATCTATTTTGTGCGATGAATAAGGCCTAGTATTCAATGTTATCGTAACTCTCAAGTTACCAAAACTTCTACAATTAGCAAAACATTCTTTCATTCTGAGATAGCAGCTCATCAATTTCTAAGATCGTAATACATCAATTTTTAGTGACTACCTTTCGGGACATATTGCGCCCCATTTCTCAACAATAACCAGCTCACAAATTATCTCCCTTTCTTGAACACATGTGAATAATTTCATTTAATGACAGGCACTTGACAAATACATTTGGGCCAAAATTGAGACAAATCTGAAAAATTAGCCCGTAGAAGGTATCGCTGATTACCCTTTGCATTCGTTCGACTTCACTTCTTAAAAGAGAGCTTCGTCTTAGTTTATGACTAGACTCTACGCGCAGGGTAATCGCTGATCTGCTCCCTTAAGAAGTGTCAATCGGAAATAAGTTTTCAATATAGTGTACGTGGAATTTGGACTTTAAAATTCAAACTTGATATGCAACATACTGATTCCATTAGGCCTTCAATTAATCATTTTTCATTTTGACTGATCATTTGTAGAGTTTGACTTCGCATCAGATATTGCTAGTCTATTGGGCTCTTCGGGGCTTAGGATTCTGCTCATTGAGATTATTTAGCAGATCACAATATTCTCATCTCCCTCATCCGGTATGCATTGTCTTTACCCCTCGCTTGTCGTTAATCTTTATAAAACGTTAAAGACAGTTATAACCATCTTTATTGAGGCTAATTACCAACTGATGTCTATCTTATAAGTACTAGTAGCACTCGAAAAGAATTTCAAATCAGTCATGTTCGATTTTCAATTACTCTGGGAGTCAACAGAGCTAGAGAGACAACAGAATAGAGTACAGGGAGTCAATAAACTCCCGTATCATCATATTACTCTGTCGTAAGTCGAATAGTGTCATCTGTATGGTAACATGTATGTCTGGACCTTACTTGTCCAAATGGGTTTTCGAAACCTTTCTAGCATTTTAAACTGATATGTAATTGAATATCTCCCATAACAAGTTTGTGCAGATTATGAAGTCGTATATGATGTACTTGTCTAGGAACGAGAAACTAGTTCTACGTCCATCTTTTTTTCTCATCGTCATATAGTCTTAACAAATTATCATGATTTGGAATAACTATAGTCTTAGAAGTGGAAAAACAGGAAATTGATATACAATTCACATATCACCTACAAGCTACATTTGCAAGGATGATACTCTGCGCGTCTAAGTATACGATTTGAAGACGAAGCTCTCCCTTTTTAGAAGTGAAGTCGAACGAATGAAAAAGGTAAACGAATGAAAAAGTGAGTCTGAAGAAGTGCCCCCAAAAACTAAAATTCCAACATAATAATTTTCGAGATGAGACTGGCCTAACTGAAGCGTGCGTATCCCAACACAATAAAGAATTCTTTAAATCTCTTGATAGAGGAGTTTCTAAATAGCTTTAAAATCTCGCTAATTCTCGATTTTTTCGTGAGATTCTAAGAAATATGCACTTTTTACCTCTAATGACTTACTTTTCTTTATTTTTGAAGCATATTTGAATTCAAGTTTTGATTTACAAAGTTATGTCATTTAAATCATTTTCCATGATATTTTTAGAAACTTGGGCCAAATCTCCATTGGTGCAAATGCAATGCTAAAATTTATTAAAACATTGGCTTATTCGTATGTCAACCAACATTTTCATGTTTAATCACAATATTTACATTGACACGTTCAACCATTGCCGTTCAAGTTTCAGACAGATTCAACAAACAGTTTTAGATAAATCATGAAATTGGAGGTCTGGCCCAAGAAGATCAAAGACAAATGAGGGTGACATCTACTAGCATTATGTCAGCGTTGGCCAGCTATTTAGAAACTATACAATTCGCCATCAGCAGTTTGCTTTTCATGATATGATATGCCGTTATAATCGGAAATAAAGTTCCGGTTTTTGTGGTATTCACGAGGATCCAGACTAGAATCTGGCAATTTCAGGTCAGAACAACAGTAAATTACTTTGGTTAACTTGTTAAGAATTCTAATGTAACAATTTAAGATTATTTATTAGGCACTAGTCCAGTTCTATCCATGCATCAGTACACACGCCGACTGAGAGCGAAATTGGCCATATGGGACTATATATCAATCTGCGGGGCCCTGACCGTAGGATTAGATACCAACCCGACCAATATGCCTTACTACCTTGACTGATCTTGTGAATCTACAAATCGGCATGCAAGGGAGGAAGTAATGTTTGCCAAGCCAACAGTAGTGAGAAGGCTCAAATGTGTAGTCTTATTATTATTAATTCGAATATATGAATATTACGAATATGAATAGGAACTAGAAACTTCTTGAATTACTAATGCTCTAATAGTGCAACAAAAATTGAAGAAGCTGTTTTATAGACTTAATTTCTAAAACCTTGAGGTGGCATTTGAAAGTAGCTTCAAACGAAGGTACTCTTAATCTTCTCCACGATCCATCCTTAGTTCATGAATCTGAATCTGCGTCAGGGATGACCGGCGATATCCAAAACATTCCTCCAGTATATCATCTTTGTTTACGATGCATTTTAGCTATCACTCTACCCTCGAGGGTTAAGAAAAGATTAGATCGATTGATTGATCGAGACATAGTTTTGTCAGTTGTCCTAACTAGAACAAAAAATAAATCATTTTGTTTACAAACATTCTTGTCCGGAATCTGAACCTGAAGGACTGCTGAGTTAGCAATTACTGACGAATTCCTTTGTAATTTTTATTCAACTTGCCAACCGAGCGTTTTTACGAAATCTATCGTAATACTATCATTTTCCGTAAAAATTGCAAACTATCGTTCCATTTTTGCCGTAAATGTTTTTGCGGTTGGTGATTTTTCATTGAAATCAATTTTGATTTTTCAAAATCCTTTCAATTTGATTTATCGATTCCCATAAAAATGGGAAATTGAACTGTCTGCGGCAATGGTTTTTCGAGTCATTTACTTTTTCTTTGACTCGCTAGCCCATGAAAATGTATAAATCTTTTTTCAAGTTACACTCATTTTTGACGCAATGAATTTAGTGATTAATTATACTTTTAAAGCTCATCGATATTGAAGGCGATTGCTCTCATCTTTAGATTGTTTGAATAATTGTGAAATTAGAATTAAAACGAACGCATCTGTCAGGAATAGAAATGCTCTATTCATTTACAAATTGTTAATTTCAACTGCCATCTTTAGTATAGTAGGAACAAGGGGTTCCCATGCACCCATAAGGTGTGAATAAGTTACATACATTTTTGTAATCCCTAGGGTGTCTATTTAATGAATTCATTTGTTAACATTGCCAACTAATGTCCCATAGTACTTTTATGGCGGCATTCAGTTACCATGGTTACGCATCTTTAGACATCTCCTTGGTATCTTAAATCATTTGTAGCTCTGTCATTATTTGGTCTATAGAAATGATATTGGTACCAAATTGAACCTCGTTAAATTTCCAATAAAGTTCTGATATTCAATTATGCAAATTATCTAATATAGCTTCTGGGGGCCATCGTATAGCTTCTTGCGGCCACTGGGGTTCCCTGTATAGCTTCTGGGTGCCACCGTATAGCTCCTGGGGGCCACT